AGATTGAAATTTGATCAATCAGAGTAAAGCCCGTATCAGACTATGGATTGGGATTGGGATTAGATCGAAATTTGACCAATCAGAGTAAAAGTTACTGAACTTGAGATTAGTAAACTTTACTGTGATTGGTTAAATTTCAATCTAATCCCAATCCCAATCCGTAGTCTGATACGGGCTTTAAAAGTTACTGAACTTGAGATTAGTAAACTTTACTGTGATTGGTTAAATTTCAATCTAATCTCAATCCCAATCCGTAGTCTGATACGGGCTTTAAGGTCTGTTCGCGTCGCATGCTCCAATATGCTCCTGCTTGCCCCGACGACCAATGCCGTCACTTAAATCGTAAATAAAGCGCCGGTATTGGTTGCTGGGGCAAACAGGAGCGCACGGCCGCACGGGGCATGCGACGCGAACAGACCTCTCTAGTCTTCACAGGTTATCTCGAGACCGCTTGTAGATTCGGGTGCCGTCCGATAAACAAGGAATAATCGCAATTGTACGATTCGCTGCCAATAAGTTTCACCGGTTGTTCGAACTTTGCTGAACTTTGACGAAGCTGAATCTAATGCAAGAGATACCAGGCACGAGTAAAGAAAGTTAATTGAGAATGTCAGTTTGTTAATTCATACACATGAAAAAAAAGAAATTTATTGCACGCTGAAAAGGACTGATAAGTCTGTCCGAGTGTCACGTGTACTGCATGTTCTCGTGCGATATTACGCATCGCACGCCGATGACTTTGCTTTTTAAAGTTTCCATGGGAAAAGTTTCGTATATAAATTGAAATAACACCTCTGTGTACGATGAATAAATTAAATGCCATGTCGTCGAATGTTGACTTGGACGATCCAAGATTTCGCATTAAACCGTATCAACAAATTGCGGCCTCTTGCACTGGTGCGGTCATTACGTCAATATTTGGTAAGTTTGTGTAACAATGTTATCTATAACTGTATGAGGATTATACTGTATAATAATTTAGGTTTTCATTTTCTCAGTGATATTTGTATGACTTCTGTACAAATGTACGCGCGTTTGTTACAAATACACTATAGAGTATTGTCTACCTTTTCAAAAGGTTAGGTTATTTCGAAATCGTATCGTTAGCTTATGAAAGTCATAAAAATGAAATTTTAATTTGACATCACACATAAAACGTGAAACTTCAACTTGATATTCTTAATGACGTGCCAGACGAATTAGTTTCAATTTTTTTAACTGTCTATTTAAAAGTTATTAATTATTGAGTTAAAAACTATCCAAACCAGTTCTAAAAATTTGTGTTTTTTTTGTTCATATCCTTCAAACGTGTAAAAATGTTCTTGCAAAGATTCAAAACGACTTGCTTGCTCGTTCTGCAACTACGATTAAAACTGTTATTAAAAATAAATGATTATCAGAATTCGTATTCCATCCAATTTTACTTTTCTGATTTATTGAATTAATTGGAAGATCCGACCAATACATCCTCAATTTCTCGATTAGTTATGCAACCACATTTTGTTATGTTAATCTAAAATTCTTTACGTTTTTGTTTTATATTTTTAGTGACTCCATTGGACGTGGTAAAAATACGCCTTCAAACACAACAGAAGGCAATGCTTTCCCATAAGTGTTTTTTATATTGTAATGGTTTAATGGACCATTTGTGTCCTTGTGCCAATGGCAAAATGCCCGAATGGATGAGAAGAAATGGAAAATTTAATGGGACAGTTGTATGTGATAACTATAATAAAATTAAAATTTTCTATTTTTATGTTAAATTATGATACTTTAAATGAAAAATTATATAAATCTTTTCCTCGTACTACCCAGTATATAAAAGCTAATTAACTTCTATATTTTCTCATCAAGTACATTTATACTTTTTAATATAGATTGATAAGATCAAAGCATATGATGTAATAAAAAAATATTTTGGGCGGAGAAAAATACAACTCGATCTACAACTAAACAATATTCACAAATTTTGATAAAATACTGTAAGGTGATTCAATTCTGCTGGAAGTGAAAAACATTGGATTACATGCGTTTACTTAACAGCGAAAAAAGAACTTTATATAATTTGTTAATCTATTACATGTAAACATACAAAACATTATATAATTTTTCACTTCTGATGTCATAATGTAGTGAGATATGGTATACAATATACATATAAAGGAAATATAGAAAAAACCCTGTGATATAATATTAACGGCTATTATGTTTGTTAATTTTTATTTACTTTCAGGATGCTTTAGTAAAAATAAGTAAAACAGAAGGTATGACATCGTTATGGAGTGGTTTGAGTCCTACTCTTGTCCTAGCTGTGCCTGCAACTGTTGTATACTTTGTTTCGTACGAGCAGTTAAGATTATATCTTAAGGTATTTTAAACTTCAATATTATATGCACATATACACCATAATGATAATTTTTTACCTTTAATTCATGTGATAATACACAAGGTACCTATAAACTTTAGATGAAATATCTGACGTTAAAAATATTATTTTTAGGATACGTACAATAGGAAATTTAACAAGAAAGGAACCAATGTAGAACAACCTTATTGGATTCCTGTATTAGCTGGTGCCACAGCACGAATTTGGGCTGCAACAATGGTGAGTCCATTGGAGTTGATAAGAACAAAAATGCAATCACAGAAACTAAGTTATGCAGGTAGGATAAGTTAACAATACAATATCAAATCAAAATGTAATGTGACTTGACTTGGAATTTTAACGATTTCAAATATACTTTATATGTTATAGAAATAACACAGGCATTGAAAACGGTTGTGAGATACAGTGGTATTTCGGGTTTGTGGATGGGATTGGGCTCGACACTTCTTCGTGATGTTCCGTTTAGTGCATTATATTGGTTAAATTATGAGTCTATAAAGAGGCTGTATAGTTCGTATGCTTTGCAACAAACTTTTACTTTTAATCTGACAGCAGGAGCTATAGCAGGATCTGTATGTATTTCCTAGTGATTTAAAGATACACATATAACAGTTACAATATTCCAAATCCACAAAAATGTGTTAAACTGTAATCATTATTGCAGGTAGCAGCATTTTTCACTATTCCCTTTGATGTAGTAAAAACACACCGACAACTTGAAATGGGCGAAAAAGAGATTTATTCGGGTAAATATAAAAAATCATATACAATATATATTAACTTTTATGTACATATACGTATATGTAGATGTACATAAAGTCTTTTCTTATTTATATACGTATATGTGTATATGTAGATACATATTAGTAATTTTAAAGTATTTTTTAGTTTTTGCACCAATTAAATGGATTTCAAATTAAGTAACCGAGTTATTCAGTTACGTTTAAAAATTGTATTACTTGTCTCGTGTATCTATCAATTTAATGTCACTCTAAATAAAAGTTCATTCTATAAAATTTATATTATGAATTTTTAGATAAACCTATTCGTAGCAGTACTACATGGGCCATAATACAAAGAATCTATCAACAGAATGGATTAAAAGGTTTATTCACAGGATTAACGCCACGTTTGATAAAGGTAGCCCCAGCCTGTGCGATTATGATCGCAACTTTTGAACATGGCAAACGTTTCTTTCAATCACACAATGCTAGGAAGAGCATCGAATTGGAGATTGAACGTGACGTACATTTATTGCGACACAAACCTAATAGTACAGAATGATATACTTGCTACAGATCAATGTACAGAATTATAAATAAAGTTGTACATAAAAATTTAGTTTTTAAAATTTTATATAATTATCTAGATAAGTTTGCATTATATTTTTATAGTTCTCAGTTGTTACTCTGAACAAAATAAAGAAAAAAGGTGTTACATTGTTGCATTTTATACGTATGTATGTACATATACAATACAGTAAACTATAGAAATGCGATGTAATTCAAGTGGGTGTAAATGTAATTTAATCAATATCAATGACGTAATATTGTAAGTTTTCGAATAGAATTTTACTCTGTATTAACTTGCGTTGATTTCGTTTTGTGGTCTACATACTTTTGAGTTGCAATGTCCTGTAATTACATATTACATGTTCATGGGATAAAAAATATCCCGAATGTATAACATTTATTAACGATCTCTTAAAAGCAAATCAAATCCACAAAAATTTCAAAAGTAAATCTAAAGTAAAAACTTAACAAACGCATAACAACTTCCATCTTATTGTATGCATCCGATTGCAAATATAATTATATTTAATAATAATACATTGCAGTTATAATTTTATCTATCTTTTTAATTATCGTTAGTTATGTCTCCCTGTTCCTGCCTACCCGAATCTTTACCTGCCCGTATTCCGATGTATTGTAGTCATATCCATTTTCCTATCTCACCGCGTTTCAACTTTTTCTTAATAAACCTACAAGTCTTCAGAACCGCGACGCGATTTATAAAAGGTCCGATTTGGGGCTATACTTGCGCGAATGGGATTTAATAGGAGTCTTGTTAATCTCGCACATATGCGAGATGCGAAGAAGATAAGAATATAACCCACCCGAATTTTGATAAATAAGAACAAATCAACTTATTTCGCACATCATCTTACTCCATCGGAGTGGCCAATATTGACCACTTACCCCGTTGTATCCAGTCTTCTTTCGTTGGGCCAGATTGGACCTACCTTTCGTTGCTCCTGGCCATATAGTCTGGTCATTTTGACCAGAGATCAGGAAGAAAGAAATCTCCTTCCATAGTCGGTTCATCACCGACAGATATTTCGCGCGGTTCGAACTATATGCGAGCGCCGATCGTATCGAAAAATGCACGACCAGAAGAGAAGTTATTTAAACGAAAAACAAAATTTTTAAAAATTTAATTATTAAAACTGATCAAAATGTAATTTTACTTCCGTTTTTTAAAGTACTGACCGTCCCTTCGTAACTCGATCTTTGAATATAAAATTCGAGCACGTAACATAGGAAAAAATTTTACTTTGTGTTATATTTATTTTAGTTATATTCCGCGATGAAGTTAAACAATTAACCGTTTCTTGAACATTTTGTGAAAAACCGATCGCGAAAATCGACCGCAAAAATACGAGATGCGTGCGACTACGCATGCATTCGTACAAAACACATCTTGAAAGTATCGCGAGACATGCTGAATAAATGACGTAAGATCCAGAAAAAAGCAACTTGCCGCACGAGTGATACCAATATATTATAATTGAATATTACAGTTAATCGATAATCTCAAATCAAGTGTGAAAATAATTTCAAATTTAAGCGTTCTCGACAAAATATATTGGGATCTCACGTCATATTATTTTATTTTATACACATATATCAATTCTTTAATCAGGGCCGTCTTGACCGCGTGTGCAGAGGGTGCGCCGTACACGGACGGCAGGACACAAGGGGCGGCAAATTTTAGTTGAAAGTAAAAATTTTGATAGAACACAACAATGCCTTGTTTTTCAAATTCTTGCGGGAAACAAGACATTAAAATGGTATCTAAATAAGATATTGCGACCCAGTAACGTTGCGGTATTTCTTTGTTTCCAGAACTAGAAATTAACAAATATAAAATTCTTTATGGGAAACATTATTGAAAATAAATTTGAAATGCTAAAATTAGTATTTCAAGTATAAGGTTGACTGATATTATTACTAAATTATCTCCAAAGTACAATTCGAAGATATCGGATTATGTAAGGAAACAAACAATTATGCATATAATTACTCTAAAAATTGACTGCCGTTTGTCAATTATAGGAGGTCGGGATATCTTTCATTGGATACTTGTGTTTGATGTCAAATGGGAAAGCGCTTTATGTCAAAAGAGAAGCCGCTTTATATAAAAAAGAACTGCTTTATTTATTGATTCTATAAGAAGAAAATTTTCCCGCCTTATCCAATTTAACAAAATAAATTTTGATTTATTTAGATTCAGCACAAGGGAGGGGGGAGGGGCGGCAATTATTCGGGCTGGCACACGGGCGTATCAATGCTTAAGACGACCCTGTCTTTAATTAAAAATGGATAGGCTACGAGAGATTAGTTGGCCGAATGCATCGATAATATTCGTCATATTTCGCGTAATTTCTATGATGTAGTTAAACAATTGTTTAAAAATTAATTTGAAAATTAATTTTCAACATGAAAAATGAGCTCAACATACTTTATGATTTGTAGAGCTCTATGAAATCACTTCTCGTCGATCAATTGAATATATTAAATAAAACGCGAAATTATTTGTAACCTATCCATTTAACGTAACGGATCTACGAAACGTACAATGTCAATCTACAATCTACTGTCAAAAAATGTATAGATTCCGTTACTTTAATAAAAAAACTTCACTCACCGACACGATGCGTAGCGGCGGAGTTGAATCTACGTTGACTCTGCAATGGCGCCCGACGCCTCCTCCTCCAATCAGATGTCCTCCTCTCAGAAGTCGTTGTCTCAGCTGTCCTCCGACACACTCGCGAATTTACACTTCCTTTTATAAAGTCACTTGTCAGTGTCACTGTATCCAAATGCCACTTCACTCGCGAATTTACACTTTCTTTTATAAAGACACTTGTCAGTGTCACTGTATCCAAATGACACTTCACTCGCGAATTTACACTTCCGTTTGAAAGACGCAATTGTCAGTGTCACTGTACCCAAATGCCACTTCACTCGCGAATTTACAGTTTCGTTTGTAAAGACACTTCCCAGTGAGAAATGATTCGTCGGTCGACGTCGAAACGACGTCGAATCAGCATCGACACCGTCGAATTGACGTAGATTCGACATCATTTCGACGTCGATCGACGAATCATTTCTCACTGCGTTGTCACTGTCACTGTGTCCAAATGCCACTTCACTCGCGAATTTACAGTTTCGTTTCTAAAGACACTTGTCACTGTCACTGTGTTCAAATGCCACTTCACTCGCGAATTTACAGTTTCGTTTGTAAAGTCACATGCCACTTTTTCGGTTTTCATCGTGTCCGATTGTCACTGACAAGTCCGATTTGCCAGTACGAGATGTGCGATTACATCGGGCATCGACGGCAAATCGCGGGAATTCAGCGATCGCACGACGATATTAATCACTGATTATTCGCAGAGAGCGATCGCGGTTTCTTCCCGCACTTGTCGCGTATCAAGAAAGAATATCGTACGTACAATATGCGAAGCGGCGCGGGCACAACCGACCAGTTCGACCCTCGCCGCGTGACTGATCCTGCGGCGTACGGCGCCGTAACGTAAACACCGTAAAAACCGAGCGCGGATTCCAAGAAATGACGTAGCGCCGTGTACACCTCGGTCGAAAACAATCTATTGAAAACAATGCGCTCGGTTTTCGGCCGAGGTTTTTACGTAGCTACGTCATTTCGTGGAATCCGCGCTCGGTTTTTGCGGTGTATTACGACGCCGTACGCAGGATTATTACAGCTGTACAAATCGAAGTACGTTGAGCTCATTTTTCATGTTAAAAATCGTCGAACTACATCATAGAAATTACGCGAAATATGACGAATGTTATCGATGTATTCGGCCAACTAATCTCTCGTAGCCTATCCATTTTTAATTAAAGAATTGATATATGTATAAAGTGAAATAATATGACGCGAGATTTCAATATATTTTGTCGAGAACGCTTAAATTTGAAATTATTTTCATACTTTATTTGAGATTATCGATTAACTGTATTATTCAATTATAATATCGCTATCACTCGTGCGGCAAGTTGCTTTTTTCTGGATCTTACGTTATTTATTCTGCATGTCTCGCGATACTTTCAAGATGCGTTCACAGCATCTCGTATTTTTGCGGTCGATTTTCGCGGTCGGTTTTCGCGATCGGTTTTTCACAAAATGTTCAAGAAATGATTGTTTAATTTCATCGCGGAATATAATTAAAATAAATATAACACAAAGTAAATTTTTTTCCTACAATATATTGATGTGCTTGAATTTTATATTCAAAGGTCGAGTTACGAAGAGACGGTCGGTACTTTTGAAAACGGAAGTAAAATTACACTTTGATCAGTTTTAAAAAGTAAATTTTTTAAAATTACGTTTCTTCTTTAAATAACTTCTCTTCCGGTCGTGCATTCAGAGCCTTATATATAATTTATTCGTCATTATTATAATTCATGTATTTTAAAGTCAGCGGCAATACCATAAATATGGTGGCCCAATCAAAAGATGATTCCACGTGTCCTATCTCTTATTTCAGTGTCTCTATTTGCACCCTAAAGTCCGTATCGGACTACGGATTGGGATTGGGATTAGATTGAAATTTGACCAATCAAAGTAAAGCCCGTATCAGACTACGGATTGGGATTGGGATTAGATTGAAATTTAACCAATCGCAGTAAAGTTTACTAATCTCAAGTTCAGTAACTTTTACTCTGATTGGTCAAATTTCAATCTAATCCCAATCTCAATCCGTAGTCTGATACGGGCTTAAAAGTTACTGAACTTAAGATTAGTAAACTTTACTGTGATTGGTTAAATTTCAATCTAATCCCAATTCCAATTCGTAGTCTGATGCGGACTTAAAGCCTATCACACAATGCCAGGCAACAGGAACAGGGAATAGAATTTCCGACGCGTTGGATTGGTTGGAGGAAAATTTCCGACGAATCCAACGCGTCAAAAATTCTATTCCCTATTCCCGTTGCCTGTTGCCTGGCATTGTGTGATAGGCTTAATAGAAATCCGCTCCACTCTCTCGATTCTCTCTTATTTATGGCGTTTCGCGTAACACAGGCAACACAGGCATATCGATTGTGTGTGTGTGGGGCGGCCGGCATGTGTAAGGATCGTCGAGCGCAACGCGATTTCCCTAACGGCTACTCGCGGGGCTCAAAGCTGTCCGGATAGACCGAATGATGAACATGATCTGGAGATGATGCCGGGCATGTCTCGCCAGCTGGAAGCATCTAACGATAGTAAGAAATCAGCTTGACTTCGTGCTCCCTTTAACGTCTCGTCAGCGTCCGAGCATAATGGAAGTGAGAGAAGACCGTCGCGTCAAAATTTGACAACGGGCGATTCGGCTTCTCTTCTAACGTGATGTTGGGGATCGCGGGCTTTGACCATCGTACTTTACGGCGTCCAGTTGTTGACCGTCAACGTACACCGATCACCTGCGTTAGCTCGGATCGAAATGCATCGTCGTTGTTGCGAGCTAATTTTCGTAACGTGTTGATCGACGTTGCGCCCGACGTCGTTTTTCAGAATCGCTTATTGCGAATGTCGCAGCGTAAATTAATGTTAATGTA